GCCGGTCTTCACAACCCCACCCCACCCTACAGATTGAAGCCATCGATGAGGGCAAAGAGGGGATCAGTGAAGGTTAAAATGGAATAATGGGTTTTTTTAGATGAGGGTTAAAATGGTAATTTATTGTCATTCAGAAAACAGTTACCAAACAACATTATTTCATTCAGCACTTAACCATTCCGACTCTCTTAACTATTCTGATCTCTTAACTATTCTGCACTAAATCATTCAGCAACTGCCAAACAGCCCCTTAATTTTAAAATATCTGAATCCGCTTGTGTACCTCAATTAATTTTAGTAGTTGCAACTTTTTGTCCTTCCTAGACCATTACATTTATGATGTTATCAAGACTTAGAGGGATGCTTAATTGAGTGTATTAAGGAGCGAGGAATTGAATGAGAAAGAAGCAGCGCAAGAGTTAGGGGTCGTTTACCAAAAACGTTTATCGAGTAAGTTGTATCACTTATCTTATCGAGCGAGCATTTTATCTTGTAAGCATATGTCAGTAAAAAATGTTTATCAACAATTCATTTTAATAGTTAAAAATATTATCTGATAACGCTTAATAAATGACTAGTCATAGTCTCAATTGTCATGGGGATAAGCCCAAACATTGCTTTATTGACCTCTCCCATGTGAGATGTGAGTGTGGCCTCTTATGCACCTATCAATATTTAAACACAAATAGACACAAAAATAGCCGAAGTTGGAAACATCCCTTTTTGGTAACTTATTATCCCAAAAGTTATTAAAATATATTATTATTTTCATTTTGTTTTAAAATAAATTTTTATTTTTAAAATTAAATATTTACTTTTCTATTTTATCCTTAATTATAAAATGATGAAAGATTCTCTATCTGTAATTATGAGCAAATTGCATGAAAAAGTAACGTACTTTAACTTGTGGGTAACGTACTTTCAAAACTTTCATTTTGTACTTAAGATGTAAAGTTTTAAATATTTAAGTACTAGGGTAACCGGTTGAAGCATTAACTCTTTCTTCTAATAAACCACAATACATAAAAACTAATTTTAGATTAAGGTATTCATGTTAGCAAATAATATTGAGTTGGATATCACATCACTTGTCACATCAACATGGTAACCGGTTAAC